GTCGGGTATTTTGCTCCTCCAGCACCCTTCTACTCCAACGTCCTCCTTTTGACTTGAAACTCGTTTCCTCGCCTTCACGTCAACGCCAAGTTCTGAAATATGACATAAACACACAACCTAGCACGAAATCGGCTTAAAACACGAGAATCGACTCTCAACCGGCTCAAGAATGGATGTATGAACATGTGTAATTATTGGTCTATCAGTGTCTCACTGGTCAATTACAACCTGCTGCGTCAAGTTACAGACTGCAACCAAAGGTTAGTTATACCTTAACGCGTAATGATTCGTTAGTGGATTATGCTCAAAGATCATTGGTGTGCTGATTATGAGTTGGGTGTTAATGAGTTCATGGAAGCTGCTTCTAAGCATGTCGATGCAATTGGTAGGGTCAGATGTCTGTGCAAGAACTGCAATAATCTCTACTTTAAGACATTAGTCCAGGTGCGGGGAGACATATTTAAGCATGGAATGATCGAGACATATAAAACATGGGTCCATCATGGTGTGTCATATGGTGTTAGTAGTAGCGGTGGTAACCCACCGACTGAGTCTGACGATGTTCAGAAAGAAGAGAGTGGTTTACAGACCGACATGTCTGAAATGTTGGGTGATTTTGGTAGGTCGAATGACTGTCTAACAACCGCTGAACCTTCCCACGGTCCTAATAATAATGGTGCATTAGCAAGGCTCCTCAAAGATGCGAACTGCACTCTTTACCCTGAATGCAAAAAAATTTCAAAACTATCCTATGTTATGAAAATGATGAATATCAAGATACAGACGAACAATAGTGATAAAACATTTAACCAATATCTTGATCTAATCAAGGAAGGTTTACCGAATGGGGAAACACTTCCCACTTCATTCTATGAGGTGAAGAAGTATATGCGTGATCTTGGATTTGGTTACACCATCATCGAGGGGTGGAGGGAGGTCTCAAGGGGTGGAGGGAAGTGTCCGAGGGGGTCCAAGGAGGACTACTGAACCTATAGAAGAGCTTGAGGAGAATGCAGAGAATACTGCCACACCCATGCCTAAACAACCGTAAACTGGTTACCGACTTTACCGGTTTTCGGTATGCCAAGTGTGGGTAAGTGGGAATCGATTACCGATACCGGTTTGTAACCGGTTTACCGGTTTTACCGACTTACCGTAAATAGTAGTTGAGGACGATTTTTCGGTTCGGTTTACCGGAAAATTACCTAACCGAATTTCTGGGCAATGGAGTGATGTTGTAATATTTTGATTTTTCTGAGTTTTTTCTTCATTTTTGTAATTAATAAATTATTATTAACTCTTATTTATAATATTTTTTAGGCCTATGCTTATTTACTTTCATTCATATATGTAATATTTGTGAATAATGAAGTATATGTTATTAGTTAATGCCTTAACTGGTCCGGTATTGGTATTACCGAATTACCGTCGGTATTTACCGATACTGGGGCCGGTAAACCGAGCTTCTCCATTTGACCCTCGGCTGCCGATACCGCCGGTAAACGGTTTACCGTTTACCGACGGTTACCGGTTCGGTAAAACGGTAAACCGTTTGCCGACTTACCGTTTGTCACCCCTAAACATATCTATTACTGCTTTGGATCATTGGATGCTTTGACCTGCATCCATAGGTGGCCGAAAGAGGGGGTTGACCAAAGGTGTTCAAGTGATGGCACGAACCAGTAGGGGGGGGGGGCGAGTAGGATCGATGGAGTATTCCTGCAGGAAAACAACCACCCAATTGTGAGACCTAACCAAAAGTTGCTGAACACAGAATTTGGTGTCGTTGCTTGTATGATGCCTCCCATAAGGAAGTACTATTGGATTGAGTTGACTGATGAAGACAAGCACCCTATCTTTGTGAAACTAGAGGTACGGTAATCTGTCTTTGTCTATTTAAAACTATAAATTACATAGTCTTAATGCATGGAATTGGTGAAATTGCAGAGTGAGTTTGCATTTGCCTCAGCAACTGAAGAGGCGATGAAGGCTTTAGATAAGAAACTCCACAAACTCTTCTTGAACTATAAGCACATCTGTCATAAACACTACAAGGAACAAGAAACCAGGCCAAAGCTCGTCTGAACCCTCTAGAAGGAGTGAAACATGAAGACTGGGAGGCCCTCTATGAGCACTTTGAGAGTGATCGCTTCAAGGTAAAACTTGCAGTGTTTGGATATTTGATCACACTTGTACAAGATGGTAGCTTAACACACATTTCTGTTTGCAGGGGCGGAGCACAAATAACATAAAAAAACAAGGCTAAGCAGCAGTATGCTCACACTACTGGGGCAAAATCCCACGACCAGAGTGTGTATGAATTGGTAAAGCATTAAATCTCTATTCACTTCCACAACAACAAATCTGAAAATCATCTTCACGTCCATTTCTTAGTATGATAAACAGCCCACTTAGCACACCCTTACCATGTTTGAACATTTTAACTATCCTGTATAGGAGCAAAAGAAGCTGGCTGCACAAGGAGCTAAAAGTGAGCAGGTAGATGGTCAGTATGATGATGATGTGCCCGTTGACATTGAGTTGTATGCCAACATACACAAAAAGGCAACTGATGGTACTTGGGTGAGCGAGGAACCGAAAGCGAATTATGTAAGATCTTATACTCCTCTTATATTGTGTATCTAGTCCAAGAACACAACTAGATATTCGATCTATAGTTACCTTAATAGGTTGAAAGAATTACATAGGGATCAAAAATTACTGTGGTGTTTATATTATGCGCCTCGTGTTTGTTGTGGTGACCTTTTGACTTTCATGTATGTAAGAGGCGATGCTGGCCCTCAATGCCCAATCCAAGGAAGATGGGAATCCACTGTTGGGTCGTGATATAGTTCAGAAGGTGTTGCAGAGGAAGCTCAAGTATGGACCCAAAGAAACAGTGAGGAAGTCGGCTAGAGAAGTTCAGCTAGAAGCAGAACTAGCAGCAGCCAAGGCAGAGGCGGAAAGCAAGACCAAAGAATTGGAGGCCAAGCTGGTAGAGCAGGATGAGAAGATTAAAAATCGGGATGAGGAGATTGTAAAACATAAACAAGAGATTGATTTGCAACATGAGCGTTTGGCTTACCAAGGCCAAAAGGTGGAAGAAAGGCGACAGTCACTAGAAAAGATGGAAAAGAGTTTGGAATCCATCCTCACCAAACTTGGCAAGAAATGATTGAATCAAGTACCTAGGTCTTCTTGATGACACGAATTTGAGAAATAGAACTTAGTAGGCGTGGATGAACAATTAAATACAATGTGAAGTCTGAATCTAGCTTGTTCACAGTTTGCAAGTGCATGTGTACGATTCCCTCGCGATGGTGTGTAATGTAACTGGAGGAGGTCGTCCCTAGAAAATGTTTTCATGGTTGGATGTTTCTTTAAGTAGTTCTTGGCTGCAAACACATTTTGGACAATATGGTTGTGTCGATTAGAATGTAGGAGTGTGTGCTGTGATGCAGGAATATGAACAATTTTGGCTCTTTGTAAACTGTGAGATAGGACAAGCATCTGCGGTGTGGCATGAATCACCAACCACCTTTTGCAACATGAAAGTGACTTTTGGCATGTTTAATGACAAGTATTATTATGTCTTTCATTTGTCATATTTACTGTAAACATAGACGAACTACATTATGTCAATGTTTCCTTATCATATTAGATTTAAAATATGAGAAAATTTCAGTATCCTAACGTATATATTATCACAAAAAATGGGTATTAAGACACAAGAGTTACTTATTATGACAAATTAGAGTGTCACATAAATTAAAAATTGTAATAAATTTAGTTTATCATAATTAATTTTAAGGGTACATGCCCTACAGCTTACAGTGACGAATCAGATTGACAAACAATTACATCATAATAGGACGTTTTGTCCGTTGGTTGTCTTAAGTTGTGACAAAATAAACTGTCTAATGTAACAAAAGCATTCGTCATGGTAGGCTACCATAATATGACAACAATATATTGCCAGGATGTTAGATCAATATTATGACAACACAAAAAATCAAATTTGTCACTTTAGATCTAACCTGACAAAATGGTACACTAATATGACAAAGTTTGTGAGTAAAAAAAAGTCAAATTTCTAGTAGTGAATCCCCAGTAGTAGTTTCGTATTGATAAACAAAAATATAATTGGAAATCCGACACACCCCTAAATTTTGAAAAAAAATGATTATCTTACCTTCGATAGTAGTTTGCATATGATTAACAAAAATATAAGTGGTAGTCTGTGTTATTCAATCCTAGAACACTACTATTATTAAACATATTCTCCATTAGGTTATAACTCATTTGTTGTTCTATTTTACACACTATGTAACAGTAAAAACATGATTCCTTATCCCCAGGGGTACCCCCAATTTGAATTGATTTTATGGTTACAGAGCAAGTGTTGAAAGAGTTACATCATGAACAAGGTTAAAAATTGAATATGCGATCAGTTCGTGAATTATTGTTTAGTAGGATATATATATATTTGTTGAGCAGTGTAGACACCGAATCAATTATATATTTTTTCGGAATATGAGAACACATCGTGACTTTTTGTTCAAATTGTACTAATCGAATATTTTCTTATTTATAAATTATTTAATTATTAATTTAAGAAAGAACACCCTAAAAAAAGATTTTGGTACCGCCACTGGGGCAGGTGACCTTCTGGACCAAAGCTGCTGGTGAGTAGCCCGTCTCAACATGGTATACCTAACAATTATTGCACGGAAACAAAGCCAAGTACAGGCAAAGTAACTCATGGAGCAAAAGAAAGTTTTGTTTGAAAGTTGCAATTGCAAATTAAAGAAAACAGAAAGACAGGCCACGATTGCAAGTTGGCCGACGGGCCAGCCCTGCCAGCCCTGCCCTGCATACTCTTGTCTTTCTCCTTTAATCGTCTGCATTTCACAAAGTCACTGGCCCTCCACTAACATGGCGGGCAATGCCTTGTTTAAATCAATGATACAATGTTACAATTAAATCGTAAAAATTTATTACTATATTTTGTGGTTGTGGGCTGCTGCTGCGTTTTGGAGCCAAAAGTTGTGCAAAGGACCTCCACCGCTCGCCCATATATTCACCATATCAATTCCACAATTTGCACATCCTCACGCTCAGCAAACACAGAATAGATCGAGTTCGTCGTCATGGCAGAAACCAACGCTGCGAGAGAAGAATCCTTCGGCTGCGCTATGCGGCTGGTGATGGGCTCGGTGCTCCCCATGACACTGCAGGCCGCCAACGACTTGGGAATCTTCGCCGTGATTGCGGAAGCCGGCCGTGATGCTAAGCTCGGCGCGCCGGAGATCGCCTCCAAGTTGAGCTCCAAGAACCCAGATGCGGACGTTATGGTGGATCGGATTCTTAAGCTGCTGGCTACTCACTCCGTCGTGGATTGCACCCTGGACGACCAAGACGGCGGCTCCGGTGGCCAGCACCGGCTCTACAGCTTGAATTCCGTGTCTAGGTACTTCGTCAAGAATGAAGATGGCGTCTCGTTGGCTCCTATGATGTCCTTGATTCAAGATAAAGTTTTCTTGGATAGCTGGTGAGCTAGTTTTCACTTCTATCTATCTCTCACCCTCTATCTTCCATCCATTGTTTCACATGTGGTCCTTGCTTGCTTCTGGTCTACTTGTTTTGTTAATTAGCATGGTTCTAAAAAATCGGTGAACATTTGTATAAACTCTCCTAGCCGTTAGGCAGAAGAAAAACGTCTCATCTTGACCATAAACAGCTAGCGGATAAGGCACTTCTAGTACGTTGTGACTCCAACATCACCAAGTCATTACTGCGTTGCGCCTAAAAAATGACGTTACATTATCTCTCTCTCTTTTTTTTTCTTACATTTTTATATGCTACTAGATTAGAGAGAATCTTAGACTCTCCTTTTCCCCCTCTTTCCCTCCAGAGTATTGCTAGCCAGTAAGCTATAGTTAGAGATGACCGTTTTTAGAGTAGCTTCTTCTTTCTTTTTTGGGCTTCTCTCTTAATTTGCTCTGCTATCTCTTGCTTCTTCTTCTTTTCTCCACACTATGTTTTATACTTTACCAAATCTTTTTGATGAGGGATTAAAAATGAGAGGTAGACGAGATGCTATTGATTCATAAACTTGTGATTTCAGAAAAAAGTGGGATATCGAAACATACTAGGCACTAGATAGAGCCTCAACCTCCCACCGTAGCGCTTTCGTGAACCTTATAAGTTGTTAGTAAACTTCACTTTGTTTCTTGCTGATATGCCTCACATCCCTTTAATACTTGTATACATACTAAACGCGTTTAAATATTGTAAGATGCGATGCCGAGCTAAGCTATTTTTTCATTTCCTCAAGGCCTGAACTGAGAAATACTGTGCTAGAAGGCGGAGTCCCGTTTGATAGGGTTCATGGGAGTCATGCCTTTGAGTACCAAGGGCTAGATCCGAGGTTCAATCGGGTTTTCAACGCAGCAATGTTCAATCACACCTCCATTGTCATAACGGAGGTCCTCAATTGCTACACTGAACTGGGACAGCTGGAGCTGATCGTCGACGTCGGCGGCGGCTTAGGACACACCATAAAGGCCATCACTTCCAAGTACCCGAACGTTAAAGGGATCAATTTCGACTTGCCCCATGTTATAAGACAGGCTCCCTCGATTCCCGGTAAAACATAGAGGAATCTATCATTAATTGTTTTCGATCTTCGGATGAACCAATTTTGTTTCATTTGTTTAGATTAATTAATGGTGGGGTTGGAGACTGGAGTTGAGGTGCAGGTGTTGAGAACGTGGCGGGGGACATGTTCGAAAGCGTTCCCCAAGGAGATGCCGTCTTCATGAAGGTGATATTTCATTTTTGTACAATTTGTCTATATTTATTGTTGGTCGAAAAAAAGAACGTTATTCATGAAAAAGGCCACTCTCCTGCGGAGAGGAGATAAGATGCTAAAATCCTTCAATTATTATCGTCATAGTTTGGAAGTTGTAATTGTTTTGATGAGATTGTTACTATTAGAGGTGGCAAATGGATTGGATTGGTGGATTGGATTGGTGGATCCATAGATCAAATGGATTGAATCTAATGGATTGGTGGATTCATGGATTGGTGGATTATCCATGAATCCAAATGACATCCTCAACCAAGGACCAATATGTAAAATGTAAAAAGTTTAGGTACTAAAATGTCACAATGAAAAATTTTAGGTACCAAAACGTAATTTTCCAATGATATTTTTCGTATAAAAAATTAAATTTTAGGTACCAAAATGTAAAAAATAAAAATTATAAGTACTAAACCGTAATTTGCCAATGATCCATGGATCCAATCCATGAATCCACCAATCCAATTGATTTGGATCAAATGGATTGGATTTAAATGGATTGGATTAGGTGGATATTTTTAATGGATTGATGGATTGGATAGGTGGATTGAATTGAAATTGCCACCTCTAGTTACTATACATGGATTGTTTAGAATGCATCATTTTTATTTCTATTTTTTAGTAGAAACAATACATGGATTGTTTATGTGATGTGACATAAATTATCACTCAAAATAAGTGATTGTTATATCTCAGCTTTTAGTTGAGTTGAAATTGTTTTGTCTCACATTTTAGCCGATGTGACATACACAATCACACATCCCAAACGTTGTATTTTACAATGCATCAAATTTGACAATACATGTATAATATTGTACATGCATTCACAACAATACATTTATTTAACAATCGCAATTTCCAAACCACCTCTAAATGTATTATTGTAATTATCATTCCTCCTATCATCTCTCATTCCCCTTTCCCTCCTCCTTCCTCCATTTCCTTATCTTGGTAATAGCGTTATATATACAAATTACAGATTTGGTACCCAAATGTAATATATCTTAATATTTAGTGGCTATAGTTAATTTTTTACATATAAGTCATTAAATTGATGGATTTTTTTTTATGAATGGTTGGGGCTTTTTCATTTCATAAAAAATGTGGCAAACAACTTTTGCTGGCAACAAGCTCTGCCAGCTGAGCCAAGAACCTAATGACAAGTTATCACAGTAAAGCTAACAAGCTAGCAAAACACATAGCCATAGAACTAGAAAAACTTATCAATGAAGCAAAGAGTCCAGAAACAGCCTCAAATCACCCTTAATCAGACGAATCATCTCATCCATGTCAAGCGCCTTTCCTCCGATTTTACCCTGCATCTCACCCTCCAGACAGTAGCAATCAAACTTTGCCAAATTACTTTACCCACCTGAGCAACAACAGTTTTCTTTTGGAAGTGTTGAGATGCCCACTGGAGTTCAGCAAGCCATTGATCACCAGGGGAGCAACTTGTATACTTTGCCAACATAGCTGCAAATAGCTGCCTGTACATATGACACTCAGCAAACAGGTGAGATCTTGTTTCCAGGGAGGAATTACAAAAAACACACAGTGACTTCCTGTAGCTCCCCACCCTTCTGCTTTGTCACCTGTGATTATGTAGTCGTTAACAATGAGCCAAACCAGAAACTGATTTCTGGCGATACAAGGCCCCTTCCACACCAGAGAGTTCCAAGGGACCAGATTACTCTTAGGCCTGAGTTCCTCCCACACTTTCTTAATACGAAATTTATCCATAAGCTCTCCTTTCCAGTATACCCCCATCAACTCCAATCGACAAGTAACTACTCATCCTGTCTCTGCATTTTAACAATTTGAGCCATAACCAGGACCCTGCATTAGAAGTGACAGTCCAAAAATAATCTCTCTTAATTCTGTACTCCCAAACCCAGGCCACCCATAATGACCCCTGCTTCAAGAGAATAACCCAGATATGCCTTGTTACACAAGCAAGATTCCACGAAGACATGTCTCTAAATCCCAGTCCACCTTTCTTCTTAGGATAGGTGACCCTAGGAAAGCAACCACACTTTTCCGGGAACCATCCCCCACACCCCACAAAAAGTCACTGCACAGCTTTTCAATTACTCTAATAACCACTTTTGGGAGGATGAAAATAGACATCCAGTACTGTGTTAGGCTATATATAACTGACATAACCAATTGGAACTTCCATGCATAAGACAAAGCCTTAGCTTTCCAGCTAGATATTCTCCTTCTAACCCTATCAATCAGAGGGGCACAAGCTTTAATGGTGAGTTTCCCTGCCAGCAAAGGGAGACCTAGATAACGAACTGGAAGCTTCCCCAGCTTATACCCTGAATGATTAGCCATTTTCTCCTGCCATTCCTCACTAATACCACCACAATATAACTCACATTTTGCTGGATTCGATTTAAGACCTGACATTATCCTAAACTCAGATAGAACTTTTTTGATACATTGGATCCCAAGATTAGATCCATCAGAGAATAAAAATAAATCATCAGCAAACATAAGGTGAGTTAGCCTCAATCTCTTACACATGGGGTGAAAAGGCATTTCATTCTTCTTAACAGCTTCATTCATTAAACAAGACAGAATCTCCATAGCCACTGCAAACAAATAGGGGGAGAGGGGATCTCCCTGCCTCAACCCCTTCCTAGCAGAAAAATAACCAACTGAGCCACCATTAAATCCAATACTCAGCTTTGGTGTGGTCACACACATTCTCAACCAATGTAGAAATTTATCAGGGATTTCCATTGCTTGCAAAGTGTTAAAAAGGAAACCCCTATCAACAGAGTCAAAGGCCTTCATCAAATCAACCTTCACTAAGGACCTAGGAGAGATATTCTTCCTACCATATTTCTGAACTAGTTCATGCGCAAGTAGAATATTCTCCCCTATTACACTACCTTTAACAAATGTTGTTTAAGATTCACTAATTATGCAGGGCATAACAGAGCTTAGTCTAACAGCTAGGATTTTGGCCATACATTTGTAAAGTATGTTACAGCAGGAGATTGGCCTAAAAAATTTCATCTCCTCTGGGGACTGGACCTTAGGGATGAAGGCTAAGAGGGTTGAGTTAACACTAACACGTATATCAGAAACCCCGAAACAGTAAATAATGGCAGTAGTTACCTCCTCTCCAATGATACTCCAAGCTGCTTTAAAGAAACAAGCGGGGAAACCATCTGGCCAAGGGGCCTTCTCCCCATCGAATCCAAACAAAGTGGATCTAACTTCTTCAGCAGTAACAGGAGAACATAGCTCCTCGCCTGACCAGGTAATAATGATTTCATCAGGATTTTCTTGATTTGTCCAACTTATGGGGGAACAATGTCAGTATCACATTCTCCCAACCACTTCCTATAGAATCTCTCTGCAATACCAGACATACCATCTGTATCAGTTACTCTTTGACCAGCTTCATCAATTAAAGATCTTATCATATTCCTCTTTTGTCGACTCTTGACTGAGTTATGAAAGTAAGGAGTATTCGAATCCCCTTCTTTGAGCCAGATTTCCCTAGACTTCTGGCGAAAAAAAAGACTCTTCGGCCTCTCTTAGCTCTTTAGCCTCTTTAGCAATTCTAATCTCAGCATCAAAAGAGCTAGGTGAAGGATGTTTTAAAGCCTCTGCCTGTGCAATCAACAGTTTAGACTCCTTTAAACGAGCCCTTTCACTAAGGTCAGAATAATCATCCTTATTCAATTTCTTGAGCCGACCTTTGAGAAATTTCAGCTTCTTGCAAACATGAACTAGAGGGGAACCATCCACTTGCATCACCCATGCTTCCTTAACTAAGTCCATAAACCGAGGATGCCTGATCCAGAATTTGAAGAATTTGAAAAGTTTTGGCAAAGATTTAACTGAGCTATCATATGTTAATAGAATCGGGCAATGATCTGACACTGAAGGGTCCAACAGGTCAACAGTACTAGAAGATAATCCCTCAAACCACTTGACATTGACAAAAACCCAATCCAATCTCCTCGCAATTGGATTACCCAGCTGCTTAATAATCCATGTAAATCATGGCCCAGAAGATTTGTGCTCTTTTAACTCACAGTCAAATTGCCACTGCGTAAAACCAGACATACTACTTGTGAACTGAGGCATATTTGAAGCCACTAACATCACCAATGGCATTGAAGTCTCCAAGCACTGCCCAAGGAGCAGATTGAACTTGAAACCTACCCAGATCACTATAGAGAACTCTCCTGTCCACTTCTTCATTTGATGCATAGACCACAGAAAGGAAAAAAAGGAGTACCTGAAGCAATCAACATATGGATGAACTGATCTGTCATATGGAGAACTGTGAGCTTGATATCTGACTTCCAAAGCAACCATAGCTTGCCCAGCCCACTAGAGTTATTTGCCACTTTTGACTCCCAACCAGGAAACCTCAAACTAATCAACTCATCTGCTTTATTTGCTCTAACCCGAGGTTCAAGTATAACTATAATATCTATATTATGTATATTAACTAGCTTTCTAACAGCCTTATTCTTATCCGGGTCATTAATCCCCCGGATGTTCCAAGTGAGGATCTTCATCGTTTCTTCCCAGCTCTACCCCCTTTACGAGGGCCAACTGGTTCAACTCTAGGTGTAGAAGGTTTTCGCTTAGAACTTCCAACTATCATCCACGGATTTGGCTCCTTTTCTGCTGCAAACGTCTGAGAGAGTACCCTCCCAACATCTGGTGAAGTAGCCCCAGCAGACGATTGTTTAAGTTGATCAGAACTCCCAGCCTGGGCTGATGATCCCGAGACAACATCAACAAAGCTAGCAGCAGTACCCCCATTAAGCAAAAGAGTAGGAGCTTCCCGCCCACTAGGATCATGAACAACAACCTCTTTCTCTTTAGATACTTCAGCCGACACTACACTGTCCACATCATCCCCTTTAACCTCATCAACATGCACAACAGCCCTATCCACAAAATATTCCTGATCAATCTCAACA